CAGCGGCAGTGTGTGTGTGTGTGTGTGTGTGTGTGTGTTCATAGGGTGAGTCCCACACCCCCCCCAATTAATATGCACCCACAGCCCCTTGCACTGCCATATACGTGGACCCCTACACCACTCACATGTCCCAGCTACCCTCCCCCCCATCCCACATACCCGTACACCCACAGGCCCCCCACAAAGCTATATGCACCCCTCACGATATACAAGAGTAAGACTTTGTTTTAAGCTATTGTGGAATCACCTCTGTGTACACTACACAAACACACGTAAATCAGAACAAAAATATTGTAGAAATCAGATTAATGAATGTTGTAGGTGTTTTCTTTTTAGACTATAATTTGGTATTTTTCTGGTTCTGAGATGGCAAAACCCCTTGCTGAAAGGAGTACTTCGGGAGACAAGGGGATTTCAGGTGACAAAGGTCAGGGGGCAGGACTTCCAGTCACAAGATAGCAATCAGGGGATGGGGCACCTGTCAAGGGGTGGGGCTACCCAGGCAGCCCTCCATAGCTTGTCAGAACTCAGTAAGTGGTGTTCTGTCCAAAGTAATTGCCTGCTTCTGTCAGGCAAAGTGTCTGGGGGGCTGGGGGAACATGTGGCCCCCCAGATTTGTGTGTCCAGAGAGGAGCATGGGGCTTCAGCCCCCTCCATGGCTCAGTGGGTGGGACCTAGCTTGGGAGGGTGGAACGGGGTGGTGAGACTTGTTGCCACCACCAGGACCCTGGCACCAACCATGCGGCCAACAGCACAAGCACTAACAAACCAGGGGGGCCATGCTGTCCTCACCTTCTCCCACCACCAGCCACTTACATACCAAGTCACAGCTCTACCTTGCTGCCAAGGCCCGGATGCCACCTCAGCTGCTGTTCCACTCAGGCCGCCTGTACTGCCCCCCACCAGACTTCCCCTCCAGGGTAGAGCCATAGCCCAGTGCTTGAGTGGCTGTTGGTAGAAGTATGAGGGCAGCCTGCCCCTCCTTCCCCCCAGTCCATTACACCTCACACTGCTGGCAGCATGGCTGGCACGGGAGTCCTGATGTTGGCAGTGGTGGTGGCAGTGACAGCAGCTACAAGTCTTGCCACCCTGCTCTTTTCTCCTGTGTTGGGTCCTGCCCGCTGGGCTGTGGAGGTGGCTCCTGCCTATGCTGCTCCAGCCAGGCAGCAGCCGCATGCTCTGCTGTGCATGCAGAAATCTTGGGGGGGGTGGGACATAGCCTATGCCTCCCCATAGACTTACTTGTGGGGAGCTGCGAGAGCTGCCCTCCATCATGCTGCCTGGCTGCCTTGTGCATGTGTGCGCAGTGCACATCCACATGGTACCCCCTGCTGCCCTTGCACATGCTACACAGGTTCTCTTTCCTTCTGCTGCCCCCAGCCCCTTGCAGGCTGGAACTCTGCCAGTATGCAAGGGGAAACCCACAGTTTCCCACATTTTTCTCCTTTAAAGGAAAAAAATCATGTTTTTTTTCTTTTTTAAAGGAGAAAATCTGCATTTTTATGCAGCAAATAGAAAACTCAGATCCCTGGTGATGAGACATTTCTTAAACATTGTGAATGAAGCTGATGAGATGTTTCATTGGAAAATGATGGTTTGCCAAGCCTGGTACGCTTCATTACACTGAAAGTGCTGGGTTCTGGGCTTCTAGGGCAGTCCATTGGCTGCTTTGTCCTAGAGCAGTGGATACTGGAAATCTACTGCAGCTGCTCAATAAAACTTAGATTTCCCATAAATTTCACTGCTTTATTGCTTGCAAGGCTGATACCCTGTTTTAAAGAAAATATTGAATATTTTTGATTGATTTGAACAGAAACCTAAAATTGAAATTATTCTCCAGCCAAAAACCTTGGATTTTTTCAGCTAAATCTACTTGTGAGATGTTTAGATACTATGGACCCTACAAGTGCACAAGTTATATAGTCAGATCTGGGTATTCATGCTGCTGTATGATTATAATATTTGAAATAAATAGATGGACATAAATAATGTAACAATTGATTAGAGTGTCCTAATATGGATAACAATTTCTCTGAGCACTAGAAGCACTATATATTTTCTAAGATCCTCTGAATCTCATAAGTAGATGTTTTGTCCATTCAGCAGTTACTATTTTTTGAAAAATGCCTTGTGGGTTTTAAAATAAAGGTGTACTCTTCTGGTAAAACAGACTACAGTTGACTGAAACAAACCAAAAACCTTTTGTATAACCTAATCTGAATGGAGATATTATTTAATTGTATGTTGAGCAGTGACATTTAAGCAACAGCAGATAATCATCCTGTGCTTACATTATCTTCCATTGATATTGACTTCTATTTAGTTGAAATAATTCTTTTTGATAAAAATAAGACATTTCCTAAGGCAATACAGTCAGCATTTTTTGCAAATTGCTCAATGGAAACTGCAGTCTCCCTTGTTATCCACTGGGAATATAACTGGTTGATTAATATTTTTGTGAGGCTAACAATAAGGGTGTGTGGTGTGAAACAGTCAATACAATGTACTTACACTTCAAAAAAAATTCGGAATTAATATACTAATGCATTAAGTGATTTGTGTGAAGAAACAGCAAATATTGGGAGCAGGTAGATGTTGGTGGTACCAAGGGAGTATAGTGTTTAGATCATGAGGTAGCAAGGGAGTATAGTGTTGATGAGTATTAGGCCCGACCTACCTCTTTCTAGTAATATACATGATAGAATATTTTGTTGAGGGCTTTAGAAATTAGGGATACGTAAGTGTGTTTTATAGCAAGGCCATTGACAAATATGAGCATTTCTGGCATTTTTTAGCTGGATTATCATTGGATCCACAGTTCAGCCTGGGACTAGATGCTGAAGAGAAGGCATTTGTTATCTCTGTAAAAGAAGTAAGGTTTAGATAATCTGATACAGTTACATTCCTTTGTCAAATTCTCTTTTATTTTTCCTCTGGTAATAACTGAAAGGCCAGAAGGGAACTGGGAATTCTCTGAAGGGCCTGAAGAGATATTTTGGAGTTAACTTTTGTGTGAAAATAATCTTGATTCTGTTATATGAGACAAATGTATTCCCTTTCTTAACAATGAATGACATTTAAAGATTAAATCCTCAGTATTGCAGCTAATTCCCGGTGGCAATTTTAGCTTACTAGGAATCAGAATAACTTTTTAATCGCTGCCCCTGGAACAGTGCAGGGAAAGCAGGGTTCTTTGCCCTTTTTACAGAACTATTTTTTTTCTGGGATAATATCTGTTTGACTGAAAGTTTTTCATAGTTTTATCTAGAAAATAGAAAATCCACTGCAAATGTTAGTTCCTTAGCTATCCACCTAGGCCAGGTACAGGTATTAAACTGGTATAAGTGACCGAAACCAACCCAGAACAGTACTCAGGTTCATTGCACATAGACCTGTTTAAAAATGGTGGGATCTGGTTTAAGATAGACCTGGATGGCTGTATTATCAGACTTAAGTGACTTAGGTTAGACAGTGTAATGGCGGGGGGGCCTCCCCGGGGTCTGTTAGAAGTTGGCCTGCCTACCTGTTTCTGGGCTA